CCACTGACACCACAGGCACCAGCATCTGCCCAACGAGAGAGCATCACAGGCTGGACTGAAGGCAAGCACAGCTCTGTCTCGATAGTAGGACACCCCTGTAGCAACGCACATAGGAGACACCACTGAAGCACCATTTTCCGGTGAAATGGAGACATTACACTATGGGGCACTACAGGACCTCTACTTCATAAAGCCACTATGTTCAAGTGCAGGAGATATATCTGACTTTCCTAACACATAGAAACCGATACAGCAATAGATAAAATGAGTCAGAGGAATATGTCCCAAATGAAAGAGCAAAATAAAATCAGAGCAAGAGACCTAAACAAAATGGAGATAAGTAATAGTCTGACAGTGAATTTAAAGTAATGCTCATAAAGATACTCACTAGAATTGAAAAAGGAGTGCAGGGCCTCCATGAGACCCTCCACAAAAAGATAGGAGACCTAAAAAAAAAAAAAGACCCTATTAGAGATAATGAACTTACTAACTGAAATTAAAAATAGACCACCTGGAATAAGTAACAAACAAGAGGAAATAAAAGAATGGATCAGCAACCTGGAAGACAGAGTGATGGAAAATAATCAAGCTGAGTGGATGAGAGGGAAAAAAATATGCAAGATGAGAATAGACCCAAAGAACTCAGTAATATTGTCAAGCATAATAGTCAGATGATAGTGATCCCAGAAGAAGAGTAAAGGGGGCAGAAGAAATATTTGAAGAAATAATAGCTGAAAACCTGAATCTGGGGAAGGAAAGAGAAATCCAGATCCAGGAGGCACAGAAAGCTCTCAACAAAACCAACCCAAAGACATCTGCACCGAGACACAGAGTAAATAAGATTGTCAAAAGTAGTAATAAAGAGAGAATTTTAAAAGAAGAGAAAGGAAAGCAGTTGCATACAAGGGAAACCCCATAAGTCAATCAGTGGATTTTTCAGCAGAAACTTTATAGTTCAGAAGGGAGTGGCATGATATTTTCAAAGTGCTAAATGGAAAAAAACAAAATCTATAGCCAAGGGTACTCTATCCAGCAAGGTTTTCATTCAGAATAGAAGGAGAGATAGTTTCCCAGAAAACAAAAGTAAAAGAATTCATGGCCAGGAGCAAAACCAGTCACATCCACATCACACATGATGGCACTGGCCTATGGGTCCCAAATCCAGTCCAGCCACCCTCCTGCCCAAGTCAGCGTGCACTGCCTGCCACCTGCTCAATGCCAAGTCAACACACCTTTACCTCAGAATGACAAGGACTCAAACTGACACTCTTCCCCTCAAATTCCAGCCTCTGTGCTCAAGTTTGTGCACAAAAGTTGGCATAATTACAACAGCAGAATGAAGCAATCCAGTGACACTAATTCCATGGAATATATAATGGATAAAAGGAGTGTGCTAGCCTGAGAACATCAATAAGCACATCAAAGAACCGAACATACAGCATGTTCCTGGTTCTTAAACCCATTTGTACCCCAATGTTCCTAGGAGCAATGGCTACAGTCGCCAAATTGTGGAAAGAACCAAGATGCCCTTCAACAGACAAATGGATAAAGAAGATATGGTCCATATATACAATGGAGTATTATGCCTCCATCAGAGAGGATAAATACCCAACTTTTGTATCAACATAGATGGGACTGGAAGAGATTATGCTGAGTGAAATAAGTCCAGCAGAGAGAGTCAATTATTATATGGTTTCACTTACTTGTGGAGCATAAGGAATAACATGGAGAACATTGGGAGATGGAGAGGAAGAGTGAGTTGGAGGAAATTGGAGGGGGAGACAAACCATGAGAGACTTTGGACTCTGAGAAACAAACTGAAGGTTTTGGAGGGGAGGGGGGGAGGGGGTTGGGTGAGCCTGGTGGTGAATATTAAGGAGGGCATGTATTGCATGGAGCACTGGGTGTGGTGCATAAATAATGAAATTTGGAACACTGAAAAAAATTAAATTAAAAAAGAAATAAAATTTTTAAAGGAAAGGAAAGAAAGAAAGAAACTCAGGAAAAATAAAACAAGATGAAATCAGAGAGGGAGACAAGCCATGAGACTCTTAATCACAGGAAACAAACTGAGTGTTACTGGAAGAGAGAGTAGTGGAGGGATGGGGTAACTGGGTGATGGGTTTTAAGGGAAGCGCACATGATGTAATGAGCACTGGGTGTTTTATAAGACAAATGAATCACTGACCTCTCTACCTCTGAAACTAATATTATACTCTATGTTAATTAATTGAATTTAAAATAACAAAACTGAAAAGAAAGAAAATTTTATATCTAAAAATTTTATTTGGAAAAGAAGTATATAAAGAAAGTAAGTAAAAATGACCAACTAGGAATAAGACTTACAAGTTAATCACAGAATTAATGTTTCTAATTTTAAAAAGCCTGTAAAAATAGACAAGGAAATGACCAAGTTTTATAAAAGTTGGTTGCTTTATGAACAGTTTACAGAAAAATAAATACAATGGTTCTTAGTCATATGCACAAATGTTCATCCTCCCCTATACTATGAAAATTGCAAATGAAAATATACTGTAGAGGTGCTTCACATGTATCTATATGATTGATAAAATCAGGTTCCACAATATACTTTGATTGAGGTCCTTAGGAAATGATCACTCTCAGCCTTTGTTGGTAGGAGAGCAAATAGTATAATCTCACCCTAGAGAATGTGTCAGTATTTAGCAAAAAATACATATAAACTTACCCTTTAACAAACCAATCCCTATCTCAGACTCTACCACCAAAATAAGTAAAAAATTGAAAAACAATTTTTTTAAAGATTTTATTTTTTTATTTGACAGACAGAGATCACAAGTAGTCAGAGAGGCAGGCAGAGAGAGAGAAAGAGGGAGGCAGGCTTCCTGCCAAGCAGAGAGCCCAATGTGGGGCTGGATCCAAGGCCCCTGGGATCATGACCTGAGCTGAAGGCAGAGGCTTTAACCCACTGAGCCACCCAGGTGCCCTGAAAAACAATTTTCAAAAGGCTATTCACATATTTAGAGTGTTAGACACGATATTTTAAAAACATTATAGTATTGAATAGAGCAAATGAATCTTCAGAACGGTATCATTAAGAACCAGTAAGCATGTAAGCAGTAAGAATTAGGTTGATTGATATTTAAATGAGATATATAGAGAGATACTTATGTATAGATAGATACTTATGTCTCTATAGCCATATAAAACAGAGTGGCTACCTTATAAGATACTAATGTGTAGTCTGAAAAGGAAAAATACAAATTCAAGCAAATTTGGGAAATTGTTCTTAGACATTATAATTTTTCTCATAACATTAAGTGCTTTGGAAAAGTCTGTTGACAAATCTAAAAATATGTAATGCAGTGTCTATCAAGAATCTTTTCTTTTGCAGGGGTAAGTTTTGGGGTTGTAGAATTCCTCTTGTTTGTTCACTATAGAAGTGTGCCGTAGAAAACAATTTGGGAAATATTGCTGTGAAAGTGAAATTCAATCTGTGGATAATTATTCTTCCTAAAGGATCAAGAAGTCTAAAGAGAGTTCCTGGTATCATGTGGTTAATGAATGCATAATTTAATACAAGTATTGTTTAGAATCTACTAAACATTAAATATTGTATTTGCTTTTGGTGACATAAGGGGAAGAAAGAAAAAATTCTGGGAAACTGGTAGAACATTAAAATATAGTGCTACTATTAATTTTATAATAAAGATTTGAAATTTTTCTTGAAAATCCTTAAATGTTATTGAGGGACTAAGTATAGGCAACCATTGTATCATGCCAGAGAGAGAAAATTAGGTTGTGATGAATGACAGCAGGAGGCAAGATGTTTCTGGCAAAGACTAGAACATGAGCAAATGTAACTTAACATTAGAGTCAATAGTATTCAGAAAAAAAAGAGCACCCTGTCTGGAACAACTACGACGACAAAAAATTATAGGGAAATGTTTGTGTAAGTCCATCCTAGTAAGAAGAATATGGGCTTTGGAGTTGGACAAATTTGACCTGTCATAATCACTCTAGTGATTATTCCCAAGTGGTCTTGGGAAGTAATTTAATCTCTATTAAGGCTGACCTTTTCTATCTGTACAGTAAGGATAAATAATATTTAACCCATAAAGTAAGAATGAAATAAAAATAACATATAACATTTCTAACACAGTGAAGGGCATTTAATGTCACTTCTTCTTATTAGGCAGATCAGGGCAAAGTGATGAGCATCCTCATTTGTCAAGGGAAAGAATTTGAATTTTGTTTTGTAGGCAATGAAGAACCATGGAAGAATTCTGAGCATGAGGGTGAGGTGATAAGCTCTGTTGTTTGGAAAGATGAATATGGAGGAATGAATAGATGAAGAGAGGCATCTAGCATTGCATCCTAATGGAAGATGAGAAGGGCATAATGGGGCTCATAGTGTGGCTACAACTGTTAAGTATTACTTAGCTAGAATTCATAGAACTTGGCTCCTCATTAGATAATGTGAGGGTGGAGAGTAAGAAAGGAAGGAATAAAAAACAAATGTAGCCCGAGCACCTGAGTTGCCAGTAATACCAAACACTGAGCCAGACAAAAGACGGAGTAGGTATATAGAAAAAGATTGAAATTTAGGTGCAGAATTCAGTTTGTTTTCTATCATTTTCCTTTTGATCTATCACCTTTATAGAGTGAGTGAACTTTGAAGATTTGAATATTGAAGTCCAGTCTTTAATCCCAGCAATCCCTTTATTCTATGGAACTGCTATATTTGATCAGTGTGTTGGCTTATTACAAAAGCTGTCATTGTGATCTTTTGGAGTATGCTTCTAAAATTTATCTATTACATGAAAAAGATTAATGCTACCAAGTCAAATACCAAACTATCAAAACAACTTAATATGGTAGCCAAACGTATATATGTACTTTGCACAATTGTATCCCCCAAAACATTGTTTGTTTTAAGTATAGTTTAAAGTAAATGCAAATGTAGACATTTTACTCAACACCAATCTTTCTGTGTGTGTGTTTCTTGTTTTAATGTGCAGGACAGGAGAGAATTGGAAAAGATTCCAACTATGAACAGGAAGGTAAAGTTCAGTTTGTGATTGATGCAGTCTATGCAATGGCTCATGCCCTCCATCATATGAACAAAGATCTCTGTGCTGACTACCGAGGTGTCTGTCCAGAGATGGAGCAAGCTGGGGGCAAGAAGTTGTTGAAGTATATCCGCAATGTTAATTTCAATGGTGAGTCTCTAAATAACCATGTTTTTGGAATTCTAAGTGTTGGCATAGTGTGTTTCCTAAGTTATGTAGTTGAATTATTTATTGCAAAAACCCAGTTGTTTATATGACTTCAAATGGCCAATTCAATATATGAACGATGAGTAAATGAATGAATGAGTGAATATTTGGGAGCTATGGTTTGTCTTCTCTTCCCCAAAATAGAAAGATACTTGCAGAAAGCTAGATTCTTCCTCCGTGAATATCCGTAGGAGTGGGAAGGGGAAGAGGAAAGAAAAGGAACCATTGCTCCAGGTGTCTGTGTCAATTGAAATAATGATTGTGAATTGCCACAGTAACTACATTCCAGATTATGCACATTCCTGTTACAAATTGTTTACCTAAAAGGGTAGGAAAAATGGGCAAATAGGGTAGTGGGAGAAATACCACTTCTCTGATAGTATCTTTCATATAGTATTGACTCTTATAACATTTAAACACATCACGTATCAAAAACTAAACAGTTAAAATAAACTAAATGTGGCTTGCATTAGTCAGTTTTCCAGAGAGGTAGAACCAATAGGATATATATAGATATACAGAAGAGAGTAACTTACAGAAATTGGCTCACGTTATTATGGAGAGAGGGAAGTCCCACTACCTTCTGTCTGCAAGCTGGAGAGCCAGGGAAGTTGGTATTGTAATTCAGTCCAAGTGTAAACACCTAAGAAATGGAGGGCTTGTGGTTTAAGTCCTGATCTGAGTCCAAAAGCCAGACACCTGGGAGCACCAGTATCTGAGGGCAGGAGAAGGCACAGGTCTCACCTCAAGAAGAGACAGTGAATTGGCCCTTCCTCTGTCTTCCTGCTCTAGCCAGAGCCTTAGAGACTGAACGATGTCCCCCCTACTTTGGGGAAGGACACCTGCTGTATTCAGTTTATCAATTCAGATACTAATCTTTTTCAGATATACCCTCATTAGACACACCCAGAAATAGTATTTTACTGGCTATCTGGGCATCTCAGTTAAGGCAACACAGAAAGTTAACCATCACGTAGGTATAACACAAAATTCAATATAGAGAGTAATAAATAAATTTAACTATGTCACAAATGAGTGATGTAACCATGCTGAGGGGTTTGAGGAATAAAAAATGAGCACAGGTAGTTTCAGAATACAGTTTGACTATATGCTATTTAAGACCAAGACAAAAATAGATATACACAACTATTGCATAATAGCTAGTAAACTTGTGGGTTCACAATTCTGAAAATAATTTATGTATGTAAGAGGACTCAGAGAATAATGAAGCATATTGTAGATAATGAGCGCTAGGTTTCTTACAGTCAGAAAAAAAATTACTAGTAAGAATGAGAGAGAACTGGAAGGAATGCTGTGTTGTGTTTGGATAGGAGATACCTGCATGCATAGCTTTCTTTCTTTCTTTTTCTTTTTTGAGTTATTTATTTTGAGAGAGAGAGTGTGTGTTTGAGCAAGGTGGGGGATTATGGGAGAAGGACGGGGCAGAGGGAGAGAAACCTCAAGTAGACTCCCCACTGAGCATGGAGCCCAACATGGGGCTCCATCCCAGGACCCTGAGCTCATGGTCTGAGCTGAAATTAAGTCAGATGCTCAACCGACTGACACCCAGGTGCACCAGAACTCATAGCTTTTAATATGCCTGAAGATAAGTAGATAGAGAAATAGATGTGTGTATGTTATATATATATACATGTCTGTGTTGCCTAGTTCTGGCCACTGAAAGGGCTAGGAGCAATGACACCCTGGTAGAAAAGATGACACCTAGTACCCACATCCTATTTATATAGACACTATCCATTAAAAAGCATGAGGGCTGTCTAGAATAACTGTAGAGTCAAGGGCCAGGACATTTAAAAGATGATTTATTTTCAGCATAACAGTATTCATTGTTTTTGTGCCACACCCAGTGCTCCATGCAGTCTGTGCCCTCTCTAATACACACCACCTGGTTAAAAGATGAGTCTGAAGCATCATGTTATGTCAGAAAGTATGAGAGTGCTCAAAAACTGATAGGGGGATTATGAAAGAGCCCAGGAACCAACTTGAAGGAGACCACACTTGCCAATTGGAGGGCAATAATGGATTATACTAACAGAATGAAACAAACATCTATGAGTCCATACTGATAGAAATAAATAACCGAACTGAATACATAAGTGCAGAAGAAGTATAATGCAATGATAGATGGCAGTGCAAAATCACCATTTTGCAAGGACCCCTCTACTAATTGTTCCAAGTAGGAATCATCAGTGGATACTAAAATTATTGGGATATAGTATGATCAGAAACAAGGCCTCTGCATGGCCTCATGGTACCTTCCACCAAGAAACATTAATTGCAAAGGGAAAAAGAATAGCTTAACAGTGGAGAAACCTGGAAGACAGACAGCACCTAAACAAGATAATCAAGGTTAACATCACCAATACTGAACCTTAGTGACATCACTTACCTTTGATACCCTATGAATGTTACAACATCACTTCTGAGGTCTTATAGCTAAAAATGGGTAACTTCACTCTAATCACAAGGAAGCATCAGAGAAATCCAAATTGAAGGATGTTTTTTAGAGTAACTGATGGGTACTCTTTAAGACTTTCCAAGTTAAGATAAAGATAGAGGAGGAATTATTCCAGACTGAAGAGACTAAGGAGACATTACTATTAATGTAATATGGGAACACTGATTGATCCTATACTAAAGGGCATTAATGGGACAATGAAGAATTTTTTAATTGTCATTTTATTTTATTCTTTTCATCATGATAAGTATACTCACTCTTTAATTCCCATCATCTATTTAACCCATTCCGCCATCACTTCCCCTCTGTAACTGTCACTTGGTTCTGTTTCTTGGTTTGCGTCTCTTTATTTCCTTTGCTCATTTGTTTTGTTTCTTAAATTCCACATGAGTGAAATCATATAGCATTTATTTCACTGACTGACTTATTTCACTCAGCCTTATACTCTCTAGTCCATCCATGTCATTGCAAACAGCAAGATTTCTGGGGCGCCTGGGTGGCTCAGTGGATTAAGCCTCTGCCTTCAGCTCAGGTCATGATCTCAGGATCCTGGGATGGAGCCCCCCATTGGGCTTTCTGCTCAGCGGGAGCCTGCTTCCCCCACCCCATCTCTCTGCCTGCCTCTCTGCCTACTTGTGATCTCTGTCTGTCAAATAAATAAATAAATCCTTAAAAAATTTTTAAAAAAATGCAAAACACGTCTCAATTAAAAAAAAAACAGCAAGATTTCATTCTTTTTTATGGCTGAAAAATATTGCATTCTATATACATACCACATCTTCTTTCCATTCATCTATCAATAAACACGGGCTAATTCCATAATTTGGCTATTGTCGATAATGCTGATATAAACATAGGTGTGCATGTATCTCTTTGAATTAGTGTCTTTGTATTTTGGGATAAATACCCGATATTGAGATTACTGGATCATAGGGTCATTCTATTTTTAATTTTTGAGGAACCTCCATACTGTTTTTCACAGTGACTGAACCGGTTTGCTTTCCCTCTAACAGTACCAGAGGGTTCCCTTGTTTTTACATCCTCACCAACACTTGTTGTTTCTTGAGTTTTTTTTATTTTGGCCCTTCTGACAGGTATGAGAAATTTTGATTTGCATTTCCCTGATGGTGAGTGATGTTGAGCATCTTTTCATGTGTCTGTTGACCATCTGTATGTCTTCTTTGGAGAAATGTCTGCTCATGTCTTCTGCCCAGTTTTAAAATGGACTATTTTTAGGGTCTTGAGTTTTATATATTTTAGATACTAATTCTTTAATGGATGTGTCATTTTCAAACATCTTCTCCCATTCCGTAGATTGCCTTTTAGTTTGTTGATTGTGAGAACTTTTTAAAATTGCATATGTTTCAAATAGTATTAAATCAATGTTTATTTCCTGAATTAGATTATTATGTTATGGTTTAAAAAATCATCTTCTCTTCTTGTAAATAATAATCCATTTAAGCTCACAATACTGCGTCAGTCATTCAGGAGTTACCTTGCAGGTGGACAAAGGGGAACCATATCCAATTTTGGAACTAATAGTTTCTTAGTTAAGATGGAGACAAAAATGACCGTATATAAAACCAGAAAAACAGTTTAACCACAAATAATCTTTTGTTGTTGTTTTTTCCAAATTCTAAGAATATCTTAAAATACATAATTCCCCAGAACTAAATGCATATAAACTCTATTATTTATCAAACAGAACTGCTTATCATATGTGTTATGGTCAGTTTGTGGTTTTGCATTCTGGTCTGTGGATGTGCTTGGCCATTTTTACCCTACTAACGAAAAAGTTGATTTTAAAAATGTTCTTTGTGACTTTTCCCTGACTCTTCTAGGTTTCTGTAGACTCATTTAGTCAAGACTGTCTTTCCCGCTGATGAGCCGGAGGGACTGGACAAAGGGTTTTCAAATGATTACTATGAACCAAAACCTGTGCTATGTACTTCACTTGTATTGGCTGGCTTAAATTTCAAAACACAAAATTGTTTAGATTCTCTTGTTTTCCTTAATTTTTTATAGATAAGGAAATTCATAGAGAAATTAAGAACAATGATGTTCAAAGACACATATGTAGTGATGATGCTACATACTTGGTCCCTAGGTTCCTAACTCCACAGCTTTCTCCCTTGACTACTATTTAAGTGTCTGAGAAGAAGGGTTTACTGCATCATTCCTGCTGACAGAATGGAGACTTTTTTGCACGTTTTATGGAGGATTTTGATTTTTCTTTGTCTCAGTAAGCTTAATTGTGCTCTTATGTTACTTTAGTTTGAAGTTTTTGTACCCCTGGGAGTTTTGTTCCAGACCAGTAGAGTATACAATTTAATAACTCTGAAATTCACATTTACCAAAGCATCAATTTAGGAAGTAAGAAAATGCCCTGAAAGTATTGTTACAGGTTCACCAAGTACTTAACCTCCTTTTATGCACCAAGAGAAAAGATGGCTAATTTTTTCTTCATTACTTACAGCCATTTTTTCCTGCATCCCAAATGAATGCAGTGACCTGAGCCTAAATTTGATTTAGTTATCTCTGTGTTGGCCCATCCAACTCAATATCACTACTTGCAGATGTAAATTTAACAAATTTGTTATCCACATATCTAATCTTAGAGAATTGCTGTATCATGAAAGTAGTTAACCTGAAATGTGTCTGTATCTACATGTGTTAGTTTCCAGAGAACAAATCAGATTGTGCTATGTTTTGTAAGAAAGACACATCTCATGTGTTCTTGAAAAATGAGGTTAGCTTTCCTTTGTTGAGAGGTAAGATCTAGGTTCCCTCCCCTTGAATCTGAGTGAGCCTATGACTAATGCAGAAGTGACACCATGTGATTTCTGAGGCATAAAAGTAACGGGACTGCTGCCTGATACTCTTGGAACATTAGTATTATGGAAACAGCTAGCATGTTGGGAGGAAGCCAAGAACTCAAACAGGCCATATGAGGGTATGGCAGCCATAGCCCCAGCTGAGATCCCAGCTGACAGCCAACATCAATTATCAGGCATGTGAGCTTCAAGCTGCCCCCACTGACATGAGGACCAGAGAGGTGATGTCCCTACCAAGCCCAGCTCAAATTTCAAAATACAGGTCGTCATTATTTGGAGCACTAATTTTTAGGGTGGTTTGTTGAGTAGCAATAGATGATTAAACACAAATCAGTGCTGCATTTCTGGAATCTGGGTATGGGGGGTAAAGTGAGAGAAAAAAGTAAATACCTTGATGCAAAGGACTCTCACCATCTGGGCAATCTAGATCCCAAATTCTGCTCTGGAAGAAAGGAATTTGATTCAGATACTCTAATTCAGTAGAGGAGATTGATGACAAATACCTTCTGTCATCTGGTTTCCTCTCAATGTCCTAGCTTGGCAAGGGGCCCTATTTCCTTCACCATTCTATGCTTGTGTCCTGGCCCTGATAGCTGTGGACATTTCTGCAGAGGATCACTTCTCTTTTGATAACTTCTTTCTCTTTTCTGGACTTCTTTGATTTTTTTTTAAAAATATAGTCTTCAAGTCTTCATTAAACATAATCCCCTTTGTTCTCTTTTAAGAAATTCAGGGATGCTGTTAAATAGGAGCTATGGCACAAGAAAGCCCTGGAAATAATAAGCCTGTTGCATTATAGAATCCATCAAAAAGGTCAAAGCCACACAATATGCTATTAAAGTCATCACTTAGATAAAGTATTCAGCTCTTCTGCCTTAATTTTTTTTAAAGCATGAACTTTAATGAGAATGGAAAGGGCATGACAAGAATCATTTCTCCTAACAAAGATTGTAAGAAGAGAGAAAGATTAGGAAGTGTGTCTAATTTTGATGAATATTTAGCTGGTGAGCTAGAGATCCTTTGGAGCCCCAGGCCTCCAATATTCTTGCTCTCTCTTCTCAAAGACTATGAAAAGCTCAAGTCATATTATTTAATGAATAGAAGCTGTTGAATTACAGCAAAGCACAACATGAATCCTAGTATCCAATGTGAAAGAAAAGAAAGGTGAGCATATGAATATTAATATCTTCCTGCAAAATGATAGGATTCTCATCTTCTTGCTAATAACATGTGGAATCCAGATTTTCTTTCTTCTCCTTATACTTAGAATGCTCACTGAAAGCAGAAAGTCAGTATTAAAAAGCTGTTTTTGTTATTGATGTTGTGTGTGTGTGTGTATGTGTTTTCACCTCTCTACTGGAAAAGCTTATGTTGATTAGCATACAGAGCTGGCTTAAGAGCTTTCTATTATGATAAAATTGGGTGCCTTTGTGGGCTCTGGGGATAGTGTTTAGGTAAGACAAAGGAGGAGCAAATTGAAATAGTGCCCTTGGCCACACGAAGATGCACCCACTAACTCAAGTTGGTGAGACCAGAGTAATGTTGTTTATAGATCACAGCTCATCTTCAGAATGGGCTCTCATCTAATCTTTAGAAAATAAAAAAAAAGTTTACATTAATGGAGAAATTCAAATAAGATATGAATTAGGAGAGACAACTTTGGTGCACAACAGACTGAATATCTAAAGATGGGTGTTCTGGTCTTGAGATACCAACAAATAAAACGACGATAATTCTCGCTCCTGGCCACCTTGGCATCTACTCTTTGTGGGGCTGTCCCTCACCTAAGGCAGGAAGATGGTGGCCGGGAGAAGATGAAAAGGCCACTGGGATCAATAAACCTAGGCTCCAGCTTGTTGTGAAAAGTGGGAAGTGCAGACTCTCAAAACAATCAGACATGGCAAAGCGAAGCATGCCATCATCACCAACTGCCCAGTTCTGAGGAAATCAGAAATAGAGTACTATGCCCTGTGGCTAGAACTGGTGTACATCATCACTACAGTGGTAATAATATTGAGATGGGCACAGCATGTGGGAAATACTACAGAGTAAGCACACTGGTTATCATTAATCCAGGTGATTCTGCTCTCATTAGAAGCATGCCAGGACAGGCTGGTGAAAAGTAAATCACACAAATTTTTTCTTTAATAAAACTGGCCAGAGCTTGTTTTTAAAACAAAAACAATAAACAAAATCATTCCCGTCTCTTAAGCATTTGTTACATGAGAGGCATAGAACTAAGCAGTTTATATACTTAATTACACTAAATCCTCAATCCTCACTAACCCCATGAGAAAGGTAGCATCAGGGATATTCAGAACCTGAAGGAGACTGAATAACATAACTGTCACACTTAGGAGGTGGTTCCTGGAATTTAAACCCCTTCTTCGGGATTCCAAAGCCAGTTATTAAGCACTATTTTAGTTTAGTTAGCTGAGTCACTCTGGGGCAAGGAACTTCTCCCTTTTAAACCTACGTATACTTTGTCACCTGTAAAATTAGCAAGTTTGATGTTCTGTGTTCTCCAGCTCTTTATTAGTTTCATATTGCTGCCTTAAAAAATACCATAAATTTAGTGGCTTAAACAACATATATTTATTTATGATCTTACAGTTCTGTAGTTTGGGAGTCTGACACAGGTCTCACCGGGCTTTGTTAAGGTGAAGGCAGGGCTGGTTCCTTCTGTGGGCTGTAGGGGAAAAAAATCTGTTTCTTTGATTTTTCTAGCTTGTGAGAGCCCACTTGGCCTTCTGGGATCATGAACCTTTCCTCACGTCACTTTAACTCCTTGGTTTGACCATCACAAATCCTTCCTCCTCTGAGTTCTGTTCCCTCGTTCCTAGAGGGATCATTATGATTTCTCCAAGGTTACCCAAATAATCCAAGATCGTTTTCTCCCATCTCAAGATTCCTAATCATATCTCCAGAAATCTCTCATTTCGTATGATAACATTCATAGGTTCTGGGGATTAGGATATGGAAATATTTGGGGAGCCACTACTGAGACTACTATAAGCTCCATTTTTTTTTTCCATTTTCAATAACAAAGTATCATAAAATCCTATGCTCGGCAGTTGTAGGATGGTATGGAGTTCTGTAGCTGTTTCTGTATCCTGCCTATATTTTGAATTCCCTCTTCCACTAGAGGTAAGCTTCAGCATAGGATTGCAATTCTGTATGTCTCTGATGACCTAATATATTGTCACTCTGTTTGGACCCATTTCCTAACTCTGTTCTTGTGTTGAGTGATTATTCATGTGTGGTCACTCAGCACCATGCCTGCTTCCCTAAGTATAGGTGCTTTTTTTCTTTTTTTTCTTCCTGTTTTAAGCTTGATTATTCTTTTCCAGTTAACATGTCTTTTATCCCCCACCCCCCACCCTGTGCATGTTATTGATGCAAATACCATGTTGGCCCAGCTTCTGCAGAAGGTAATGACTTTGCTAATCAAATGCAGAACTCTGTCATCTTAAATTTATAATGAAAATTATCAAAAGAGCTTCATGCTCATTATCTGAATTTACCCTACCCCTCTCCAACAAAAAATAGCAAAATGAACTTCTGTTCTTAGTGATTCAGCTTATAAATGATCCTTAATTTCCTTGTAAAAGACAGAAAATAGATCGTTTCCTCTGCGAAATATCAATCCAGTATTAACTTAGAGTACAGATACCAGTCACATACCTTCAGGCCAGTGGTGTTCATCCTATTTCCAAGGGATCATGAGAGAAACAGCACTCAGTTTGCCAACTCTTGAATCCTTTATAACTGTTGCTGAAAGTAACCCAAACCCACATCTTTCATTCTCTGTGTATGATTTGCCAGTTGGTCCATGTGGTTAATACTAAGGAGCTTTTCACTCACATCTAACTTTCAAAGGTTACACACAGACACACACCCTCTCTCTCTCTAAATAAATGTATTCATCTTTTTAAGTTGACTTCAGTGTCTAATTCTGCCAAAATAATGGGTTTCAATTAAGACCCACATTTTAAAGAAGACCCACATAGCAGATTGAAAAAAAAATTATTAAATACTTTCCATGTACATTGGTAAGCATTTTAGACTGGTTATATAAATTAGACATGGTCAGCAATAAATATGTTCAAATGTGATCAATATCCAAGTACATATTTAAGTAAACTTTTTGGTTTAGTTGCTTTTTAATTCTCTTAGATTTCTTTTTTAAAAAATGTATTATTTTTGAAATGATTCTTTATTAACCACATTTGATAATTAAGTGGAAACTAAAATAATAATACAACTTTAGATGGTCTCTGGGAAATAATGCATTTAATTTTCTCCACAAGGGGGGAAGATTAGCATAAAATATCAAGAAATATTGAGATATAGAACTGTTGAAAGGGGGAGGTAGGTCACCTGCCCTCCTTCTCTAGTAAGCATCCACAGGCCACAGTGATGATTTGCCCATGGGGTTATCCATTGCCCATTTAGGGGGAACCTATTAAACAATGTGATTATCTACTAGCTACCTTGCTTATCAGCAGGTCTCCAGACCATCAGCCAAGGCATAAGAGGTAGACGGAATCTTGATTATAAAATCTGGCATTTTCTTGTCTTCCTCAGGTAGTGCAGGCACCCCAGTAATGTTTAACAAAAATGGGGATGCTCCTGGGCGTTACGACATCTTTCAGTACCAGACCACGAACACCACCAACCCTGGTTACCGCCTGATTGGGCAGTGGACAGATGAACTTCAGCTCAACGTGAGTACTACTTATCCCCTTCCTTTGTTCATGTGATGAATGGACAGACTTTTGATGTGCTCAGTCTGGCAAGCATTCTTGTTTTTATGTTTGTGTGGATATATATGTGGGCATGCATCCTGTTAAAATCATCTACAGGGATTGATAATCCATAATAATGTAAGAGTGATGGTTATGATGATTATGATGATAAATGTGTGCTTTGAATTTGTACTGGGTATTATACTCAGCTCTTACAGGAATGATCTTATTTAGCCTGAGGCTTGAATTGCTTAACAAACAAGTTCCATGCTAATACTTTAAAAGATCCTTCTCTTGGTCAGATTTTCTTTTTTCTTTCTTCTTTTCTTCTTCATATGGTGATGTATTTTTTTTTCATTTAGAACATTTTAGTGAGTCACTTTGGATTTTACTGAGATTCTCTGAGTAATTGCAATGTTAACATCCATAACCTCTTCCTCTTCGGTCAAACATAACCTTGAGTAAGTGGCCACTTCCTTGTGCAAGGTTAGGTCAAAGTGCACCAGCCAGAGACCATCAGTTGGTCATCTGTAGTCAGACACAGTTAGGTTTATTTAACTTTTAGTTGCATGAAGTTTGCTCCTGCCAGCAAAACCTCTTCATGATGAAGGAGTTTCGATGTCATTTATTATATGTTTGGAGCTGAGATGGGTGATTTTCAGGAGGTTTAGGGAAATGACTAGTTTGGCTTGGGCCCTCTTAGGAAATAGACACAAGTTGATGATAGTACACCTTTGTGATTTTTGTGTAGAGGATGGGGAGATAAAGGCTAAGCAAGAGTTGTCACTTAAAAGAGAAATAATAGGCACTTTGGAGAACTGAAGAAGGGAGAAGTTATATTTGTGGTTGCAGAGTATCCTTCTTTCTGTCTAGTTTCAGACCCAGTTGCGGAGTGGCCTTGTTTTTGTCTTGTTCCACCACAGTCATTGAGTGGCTTTGTCTGATTATCGTTTATATTCTGCAGAAGTTGTTGAGGTTCTGTTTGGAATGGGCCCGCCTCCATGTTACCTAACAGCTTTCTTGCCATTTACATTTTTTTTCATTTCTTAATATTTTAGGTTCAACATTAATTGGTGTGCTTCTCATAATATTTACAATGTCCTACTTAAAATTACTATTAATTTAAATAAATCTACCAATCTTCACAGACAGTAAAGAACACGAACTATGGTCCATCCACCCTGGCTGAGCCAAACCCAGCTGGAGCTCAGCAACTCATGTATCCCATTATTTTCCTCCTCTCCTGAAAGGGTTCTTAAACAGGTCATGCCCCAGTCTGGTGCTTGGGGTCCTGGAACCCAGTGCAGCAGAAGTTGGAGAAGTAAGGGCATTGTGGGGCCTCTGTGCTCAGGTGTACTTGAGAGGGTTATGCTTCAAGAGGTTCTGCAGCAGGCCCCTTCCTGCAGTGGTGTGGTGGGTGGCTACACTGGGCAAGACTTATAAATTGGGTAGAACATCCCAACTTCATAAATATTACAGTATATACAAATACGTGATTTTCTTTGGTCCAGCAGGTTCCTGAATTATTCTGGTTTCTTCAGAGAAATGGGACCAATGGAGTAGATGATAGATAGTTAGATTATAGGAAGATGGCTCATTCAGCTATGAAGGATGAGAAGCCCCAAAATGTCTAATTTGCAAGCCAGAGACCCAGGAGAGTTAATGGTGTAAGTTCCACTCTGAATGTGAAGTAAGGGGAAGACTGATGTTCTAATGTAAAGATAGGCTGAGAGGATTCTTTCTGACTCATCCTTTTTGTTGTATTTCAGCATTCAAGTTTGTTGAGACCTACTCACATTAGGGAGGGCAATATGTTTTACTCACTATACCAGTTTAAATATTCATCTCATTCAGAAACACCCTTACAGACACACCTAAAATACTGCTTAATCAAATGGTTGGGTACCCCATGTACATAAAATGAATGATCACAGGCCCCATCTCAGAAAATTCCTTCTAATATCTCTTACAAAGATGGGTATTGTGTTGTTTGCTTTTATCAATCCATACCTTTAGAAGGCACTTTGGAAATTATTGAGAGAAGGGTTTCTTGAGAGTAGAATACAGAATTAATGTCATAGGGTGGGGGTTTTGGGTCATAGTTTCTAAGAGAGGATTTTTCATAAGTGGGGGGTGGAGTGGGGGTTGGTGAGGCCACCAGAGGCCAGTTACCTCATTTGCACATTGCTCTGGCCTAGCTCTGTTTATACCTGTCCAGTTCTCCCTCTCCTGAGATCTCCCATCCAAGTGAGTTCACACAATGATTGGGTCCAAAGGATTGTGATCCGGCATCTGAGAATGGATGGAGCCAACCAGCCAGTGCAAGCCATGGCTGGGATAAGAGCTGAGTACTTTTTCTTTTAGCAAAGAAAAAGCTAAAGTTATGCTGAACTTAAAGCATACTAAACTCGTGAGCAAAAAGAGAACATGAAAGCAGAGCAAGCAAATAAACAAAATTCAGCTGGTAATCTCAAGGGGTAGTAATCAAAAGCAGAATCAAAGTAGCATAACCTGGCTGACATAGCCAAAGTATGTTTTGAATGGGTGTTGCCTGTGGGATACAAAGATGAATCAGCCTGAACTAAAGGTAGAGAATCAAAGTCTGTGCTATGCATGTGAACTTCTCAGCGCTTAATTATAAGACCCACAAGATTATATAGGTGTATTTACCTTTTGCTAGCATAACCCCTGTACCGGTGTTAAATTCCTGGCGTTGTGTAGTTTGTCCATACAAAACAATCCCAACCATGCTTTGCCAACTCCAGATATTACCTAGGAAATTCTTAAGCCCACAATTTTTAAGAACCAAAATCAACAACAATTTTATTTTTTTTTTATTTGCTGTGTATTTTGTCCTTCATAAAAATTGCATTTGAGGGGCGCCTGGGTGGCTCAGTGGGCTGGGGCCTCTGCCTTCGGCTCAGGTCGTGATCCCAGGGTCCTGGGATCGAGCCCCACGTCGGGCTCTCTGCTCTGCCGGGAGCCTGCTTCCTCCTCTCTCTCTGCCTACCTCTCTGACTACTTGTGATCTCTGTCAAATAAATAAATAAAATATTAAGGAAAAAAATTGCATTTGATTAGCCATTTAACAAGTTTTTGTTTGTTTCTAATGCATCTGTGATATGATAAGCATCTCAGGAGGCAATGGGTACACAGTGGGAGAGGAAAATAAACATGGTCGCTATTCTCACAAAATTGATGGTCTTGGATTGGAGGTGCATGAGACACAAGTAAACAGATGTATATATGGTGATTTGAAAGTGTGAGAAGAGGCATAAAGCAGGGAGAGTAGTGGAGGTGAAGAGAGCCCTCCCAGATGAGAAGCCAGCAGTGTGAGGAATAGGAAAGATCCACCAAGCAGGTCAGGAGGCTGCTGTGGCAATGGCGTGACTAAGCGAGAGGGGAGAGAGAGGTGGTAGGAGAGGTCAGAACCATTGCTAAGACACATAGCATGAAGACCCTTGCAGGCTATGCTAAAACATTTGTAAATTTTATTCGGAGTGAATTTAAATGTCATTGAGAACTGTTAAGCAGGGGAGTGACTGGATCAAATTTAGGAATAATTAATTTGTCTACTAAGAAGGTAATGAATTGGAAGGGGCAAGAGTGGGAGAGGAAGACCAACTGAGAGTTGATTTTAGCTGTCAAGTGAAATAGGATGGTTAATGAAGGGGGTTCTCAAACCTCAGCAGGTAGCAGGATCATCCAGAGCGTTTGTGAAAGCACAGATTGCTATTCCACACCCCAACACCCCCCTGCCGGCCAGAGTTTCTAATTCATGTGGTGTCTGTCTTGACCACCTAGAGAGCCCCCAGATGTGGGGCAGCAGTGGAGTGGAAGCTGGTGGTACCTGTGGGGAAAGGATTTATGCAAGGCAGAGCAAAGGAGATAGAAATTTTTGGAATACCCTGCAAGGGATCCATGGGAAGGATAGCAAAGGAGAAACTGTCTGCAATGGGGCAGTAGGTGGGGCTGTTTTAAAGGGGGAAGGTGAGGAGGTATGGGGACTTAGGGAACTGTGCCTGGTGGTAAACAGTCCATTGGTCAGTGAGCGCCTATGGATATCTTGAGGTGGATCTCCTGATGAGCCTGTCTGTATTCAGCCAAGTGGTCTCACACAGGCCCCTTTGCCTTGATCAAGTTTTCATTGCTCAAGCCTGTTGCCTGAAAGCAGCCTCTGTGACTCAGAGGGTCTCAGAGTGGAAGGAGGCTCAAATATCTGCCTTTCTAAGAGCCTCTGTGTAATGCTGATGGCACTTTGAGGTCACTGGCTTAGAGAGTGTGCTGATAGTAGTGTTGTAATGAAGTAAGTAGAAACACATGTGTGGATAAGACATAAAATACACATGTGTGTATATATTTACGTGTGTGTGTGTGTCTGTATAAATATTCTTCCTCTTAGATATATATATCTTAGAGGAACAATAGCAAAATTTAGTGATGGATTCAGTGCTGGGGTTGAAGGAAAAATAAAAGTCAAAAGTGAACCCCATGTTTATAACTTGAGAGGCTATGAGGATGATAGCCACATAAGATTAGGAAGGCTACTCAGAGTGGGTGGGAAAGGGGGGTAAATCTGAGAATCCTGAGTTAGTGCTCTTAAATGTTCGAGAGCCAAAATGAACTGGATAGAAATCTGAAACTCTGAAAACAGTTTTGGTCTATAGTTATTAAAAAACAAAACAACCCACCAAAATCCAGTTAGTTGTTAACCTATAAATAACATTTAAAGCCATTAAAGAAAGAGAAAAGAGAATAGCCAAGAACCCAAGGTCTTGAAAACCTCATAGGAAATGGTACAGGTCCTTTCCAACTACTCCAAATATTACACAACTTGAAATACTCTGTTTCGTGAAAGTTAGGACAAACACACACTTTGGTTTTGTGTTTGTTACTGGAAGCCAATCAGGGAGATCAAGCATTAGGTGGGAACATCTTTTATTCTACTTTTTCATGCTGAAAGTGCTGTGTTACAAAGA